TACACGATTCCCACTCAATCGTCTTTTCGACTAATCTCCTGGTCGAGGGCGCCTTTCAGCTGATGATGCACACACAGACGATGGAGAAGGCACGTCGACTGTTCAGAACATCATCCAATGGTCTTCCTGACATTGGTGACGCTGTAGACTTGATACACGACTTCCCCACCACACTGCTTGTGCCCATGTTCTGGCAGAAGCCAAACACAGAATCGGAAATCTTGAAATTTCGCTCCCTATCGCACTCCATTGCCGAGTTCGTCTATATTAGGTATGGGTCACGTGGTCTCTTGGATGCCATCACATGTCTGGATAAGATCACTTTATTCTCGCAGAGGCACCAGGCCATCTTACCCTGGAAAGAAAAGGTATGGCAGTTTGAGAGAAGATGGAGGACGGCTGAACAGGCGAAGTCTTCAAAAGTAACCTCCGCCCAGTCTCTCGGAGGCCTCATGAAGCTGTTCAAACCACTGGATATACTGGCCGCAGCGCTCGTACTCCTGTTGTCGGTGATCCGAGCAGGTTGTGCGCTGCTCAGTGCCTACGCAATGCGACGATTGTTCCGCATTCAACGTGACGGATCCGGTGTCCAGGAGGAACCAGCACAAGCACTCACCATGATACTATACTATGGCCTTCTGCCAGTCACGTGGTTACTGCAGGCCATGCTACACACTGCTGTGCACAGTCTAACGCAGGCGATCACGAATAGGGCGTCTGAGAGACTGTACTGTCACGTGATCGATCTCGAGTGCGGAGCTGCAGCTTCGTCCCACCTCAGCCTCAGGAGAGATTTGCATCCCGCAAACGAGGTCGTGAAGTGGATCAATGACGTCATGGAGTTACTGTCCACGTGCTTGGTGAGCAGTGTGTATGCAGCAGTGATGCTTGCGTCTTGCCTGACGTTCATTGGTCTGATGTTCCGGCCACTGGCACTGTGCCTGTTGCTAGGGTTGTTGCTAACATACTTGCCCATGCGCAGAGCATCACACAAGCGTCACGATGCTGTGTTCTACGCAGGCGTATCTCGCCAGACTCATGTACGCCTGCTCGAGGACGCACGCCGTAGCAGTAACCTGCGCTGGCGTAGCAAGCTGGATACCCACTGGACTTATCTAGTGGGAGTTGTGTCGGACAGTATGAAACCTGAGCACGTCTGGCACCGCGTCGCCCCTGAGCAGTTTATTTTCGCGACGAGTATTAGCTTTTTCGCTCTCTGTGCAATCGCCACTCACTTCCACACGCCTCGCCTGGATACGAGCTCCGCAGTGACGTCATGTTACCTGCTCATGCATATTCTATGGTCACTAGGTCAAGTGATCCGAGCTGAGCGAGATCTACACAAAGGCTGGACATCGTGGAAGTCCATGTGCCAGTATCTAACGCAGAGTGATCGTAAGAGGAATGGCGCAGACGTACAACCTTCGGTATTGGAAGATCACTCCGCAAGTGATAGTGATATCGAGCCACCAACACAACCGCGTGTCCCCGTCACCAGCCCAAGCGGAGCAACCGTTGCAGTGTGCGCACAGAATGTATGTAGCAACTCGAGCTCAGGCTGGCTGAAGGATCTATCATTCCTGATTCACCTAGGAGAGAGCGTTGTCATCGTGGGTAAAGGTGATTGCGGCAAGACAGCCTTAGTTCACGCCATGGCGGGCAAAGTACCCATCCAACGTGGCAGACTCTGTGTGAAACGACAAGAGCAGCAGGATCATGGCGAGCTGCATGCAAATACGCCCATACTGAATATGAGTTTCTTGGAGAACATTCGACTTGGCACCGGGCTGGTCACCCAAAATGACTTCAGACAAGCAGTCCTACGGGCGGGCCTACTCCCACTCGTACGCAAGCTACCTTCGGGTATACGAACAAAGCTGTCTGAGCACAAGTTGAGCATCTTAGACCGCCAGCGTATCGGACTAGCACGCGTGCTGCTGGCGCGTCCCAGCATCATACTTTGCGACGAAGCCACCAAGGGCCTGAGCCCAGCACAAGCCAGAGGTTTTCTCTGCTCACTACTGAAGGGTGCTTCTCGCAGCTCATCCACAGTAATCCTAACTCTACCGGATGAGCATATCATGTTGGCAAGGCTTTTTGACCAAATCATGGTTCTCTCACATGGACGACTGCGCACAATGGGACGGCATGATAACCTCATGGAAACCAGTGGCTACTACAGGTTGCTCATAGAGTCTGTCAGTAACTACATGTACGTGTTAGCTGATACCGATGTGCGCGACCGCCAGGAAGAGGGTTTCAACACTGCTATGGCCCAGGCAGTCCTGGGAGGAGACACAGACTTGCTTGAGTTGGATGGTGCTTGGTTGAGCGGCATATCTGTTTAAATAGACGAGCAGCCTGTAGCAGCGCCAACCATGTCAGATCCATACAAGGCGGACATTTGTGGTGGATGCGGTATAAGCAGGGCTTATGGCAAACTGCATGATATACATGTGCCCTCAATATGTTACAATCATATTGATCATAATATATTGAAATGCGTCATTCCATTGACGGAAATTCGGGTACATACATGTAAGGAGAAACTATTCTTGATTTGTGCCGGGCATGGCTAACTATTAGGATATTTTGATTCTCAAATGATATGCATTTTACGAAGCGGCAGTGAATTTTATTGTGCACGCACAACATTTCTAAAGGCGTGCAAGATCCACTGCAGCTACTTCATGTTCATAAACCCTACGCGATCACAAAATATTAATGCAAATTCTCTGACAGGAGCCATCAACAGGAAACTGATGATGGTTTCTCTAGTAGGGAGTTTGATTGACGTTAAACATGTTTTCAGCGAAGAGACCGCTTGCGAGCTGGTGACTGGTTTATCAATGCTGTGCACCCATACCAGTATCATTATTATAGCATATTATTACTGTCTTCTAATGTTAGTAGTGCGGTTTTGCGGGCCTTTCCACCATGGTGGGTTGTGGCTCTTGTAAAACAAATATTTTTTGAACGACTGATCCCAAGCTGTGTTCTCCCAAAACAAGAAAATAATAATAATTACTATCTTCTGAAACGTTTCCTGATGCCCATTATCTGTGGCGCTTCGTCATCTAGTGTGCTAAGCCAAGTGTGTAGATGTATTTGCTAAAACAAGCAGTACTCTGTTCGAAAATGGGATCTCCCCTAAAATGAGCAATAACGTTATAGCAGCAAGTAGTTACGAAGGGCACAGAGCACTCCACTAGCGTCTACTGTCCTGATGCTGTCATGGCGCATGTGGGCAACGTACAGATAGAGGTAGTGGCAAATGAATGGTAACACTACTACTAACTAACAGTGAACTGGACTGTACGCAAACCCGCAGCTCGCTTTGTCGACCTCTCGTATCCAGGCTCATGTATACGAACATTACGAACACGTGTACAATGTACATGACATACAACTGCTCTGCGGACAGAACTGTTTCGTTCTTTGTGACTGAATACACGTACTTCAGGACTTTGTACAATTTCCATGTACATGTACATGTAGTGAAACTTGAGGATGTAATTCTAAAAAGAGCCTTGACAGCTTCCCTGGCCATTCATCCGCAGATGCACAGTCCTGGGGGGAGGGGGGGGGGGGCTGGTACACTACCATTGTACATGTAACTGGTGCAGGGTTAGCAAATCAAGTTATTGCGTCTTTGTCTGACTGGTTGGCTTCCATCCGGCTGGCCTCTTTGGTACCAGCCAGAAGTCCAGGCCAATTTGATAATTGACCTCTTTTGCATGTTACTCGGCATGACCATTCTGATACTGAAATCAGCATGTACATGTAGCAGAGAAAAGAATTATGGCACAGCAGGCCATGGTAGATTTCAATTCAGCACCCTAGCTCCAGTAGGTGGCTTTATCTAAATGTTGATGGGGTGCAACCAACAGCAGATGTACCATGCTCTGTGGGACAGTTCGTGATGAATGCTTTCCCTAAAGGCAGTCAAGTGCAAGTAGCCGGTCCGAGATCAAGACCGACCCTGACCCAGCACACCCCTATCGGTACACCGATTGCACGGGGTACTGCACGAGGTACTGCGCGGGGTACTGTAGGGGGCACTGCATGTGAAATCTGCAGCCCTACTGCTAACAACTACCCCTCAATGAGCGGCACAGTGCGAAAGTTTGCTGATGCAGCTAATATCACTGCTGCATACACAGGCCTATGATACACCGGAGGGTGTACCCAGTGTGCTGACACCGCGGAGGCAGAGCGTAATGACTGAAGTTGCCTGATGATCGCGAGAGCATGAAACTTCAAGTCGCAGCAAACAAGTCTTGATTGTCCCTGTTGTTCTGTTCTGTCAAGCCTATGATACATGATGTAGGTTAAAGTTTGGCGGCTCATGATCTGCTGTAGAATGGACGCACTAGTACCACTGTGGTCTAGTAGATTCTTACTCTATGGTTTCATGTTGTGAAGAAACCCGTTCACTGTAGCCAACATGGCTCAATGTGGGTCTTGGTCACCCAGCACTGGACAACTAACTTGGCCTACGAACACTACAAACCTACACCGCATAAGGATAGTCACAGTTGCTACTTGGAAGTATGACGGTTCCACTATACCCTGAATGCCCCTGATTCTCGGTAGCACATACTTCGCACTACAATCGGGCCGATGAGGACGTTGCGGAATGGGCAAATCGGATGAGCAGCCAACCTTCATTGCGTAGTAGGATGTTCTTTGTCCACCGGAACGCATCGGCATTCACGGCTCAGTACCCAGGACTCATTAAATTTATCTTTCAAAGGATGTTGGTCAGCTGGTTACGCTGCTGCGTGCCAGACGGCTAGAAATGGCTCCTGGCACTGACTGGGCTAGCCCTAGACATATCCAGCTGTGCCCGAACATCACAATGCACACCCCGATGAGGACATCACAGAACACGAGTACGAGTCGCAGAGGTTCGACACGCCAGGCATTCACGCCTGGCAGCCTTGCTTAGGTTCGGATGTGATGTAATGGCAAAGAACAGGCTTAAATAGAACTGCTATAATACGGTGATTGCAGACTGTTTCCTTGTCAGTTGATGTCCGCTCATCTGCAGCCTGGTACGTACTCTGGAACACATTTCAGTTCAACGAAGATGACGGCGTCGCTGGTTGTCGCTGTTTTGCTGGCAGTGACTGTCGGAAGCAATGCTCAGGGTGAGTGATATCGGATACCATCTTTCAATTGTCAGCATCCATCAATAATTATAATGATCAGCATCATCTCTATTCTCTACCATTATTGTTGCCTGATCAATGCCACACCTACAATGTTACCTGGGTGTTACGGATTGGTCACACTTGGTGGCGCTACATTGCGGCGGCCTTGCCACGTTATTTGCGCCTGTGTCACGTCTTAGAATTCTCTCGTTGTGCAAGTTTCTAGTTCGAATGTTTTACACAAAGATACAATGACATGTTGGCTTTGTAACAGCAATAGTTTTCATAAATAACGTGCAGAGATCGTCCCACACTGGGGACAGAATAATAACCCTCTCCTTCTGTACCGTCATTGCATGTTCTATTGTCATGTCTTGGGTGTCTCTGTCTGTGCACGTCACCACATTTTCAAAGATATTACAATGTATGCCATCAACCCCAAATATTTGACTTGCTGCTAAGTTGAACTAACTGTTTGTCTGGCATCTGTACATGTATGTGCGTGTGTATGCGCATGTGTTTGGGTATGGGCACGCGCGTGTGCATGTGTTTAGTTTCGTCCCTGACCATTGCCAAGCGACCAGGCGTGTGTCCACGAATCCTGACCTTCGCACCGTGCGTCTACAAGCCGTACCAACCGAATCAATGTTTCCATGACTACCAGTGCAAGGTCAATGAGAAATGCTGCTCGACGCCCTGCGGTCCGAGGCGATGCAAGCGAGTCATTGTAGCAACGCCAGTTTGTCCATACGTCACAGAGACCACCTGTAGGCTGAAGTGTCGCGAAAGGGGAGGCCTGGCTACAGACAAGAAAGGCTGCAGAGTGTGCCAGTGTGCAAGTGAGTTGGGCAGTACACATGATTAGAAACGTTGAGTACACCTGGTACACATCCGATACTTATCTACTTTTTTTTAAATATCAATTTTCACTCACAGCTAGAGCAACTGTACAGTACATGGACCAAGGGTAGTCATCTACCAGAGATTTCACACTTGAGAGACAAAGACCACAAGGGCAAGTTCTACAGAGTCCCGTGGAACAAGAGCAACCCTGCTGGAAAATATTTGGAGAGAAAGTTACACATTTTCTTCAGTTGTTGAATACTAGCCTCAGATTTATTATAGCATACCGGTATATGTAGGTATGAGGATGAAGCTATTTTCAAATCTAGAGACTTGAGGGGGGGGGGGGTGAGAGAGCCCTGAAGAAACATGATTCTCAGCAGCAGTACTAAAGGCAACCCATAAATCAGCGATGCTCCACGATTACTCTGTGATGCTGTCGTTATCGTGATAGATCGCACAGGTAATTCTAAAAAACCGCACAACGGTTACCACTTTACCTTCTGCACTATGCCAGGAAGACTAGTGACCACTCTGACCATTCTGTTCATGGCGTTTACAGGATGTCCGCGCTACACGCCCGTGGTGGCATGTCTGGTCGATCCATGCCGTTTCAACAAGTGTCCTAGATATCCACAGGCTAGATGTGTGGCCAGCTACTGTGGCAACTGCCAAGCCAACTTCTTCGTCAACGGCAGGAAGGTGAACTGTGGAACCACGACGCCACGTATGTAATAGATCACGAATTCTGTAATTTCACAAATTTTCCGTGTACTTTACTTCACTAAAAAACTTTCGTTGCATCTCTTTCATACCTACATTTTCAATAAACCGAACAAACACTAACACACAATCTAATAGGGAACTGCTTCTCTGTACAGTAAACTTCGCTTATAACGACACTCGGCCGGGTATCAAAAAAGTGTCCTTATTCGCGAAGTGTCGTTATACCCGAAGTCTCATTATATGTATTACAGTTGGAAGGGACTTTGCTCTGGGCATGGACATGCTGTCGTCATTCGCGAATTCTCGTTATATCCGTAGTCGTTATTAGCGAAGTTGACTGTACCTGAAATTTCTGTCCACCTAACCTGGCCTTTTGCCCTCATACCGAAAATATTGAGCACCAAACATTTCTGAAATTAGAGTATCTATAAGTATAATTATGTACATACATTTGTACATGTAGCTAGCTACAGATGTGGCTAAAGAAATCCAACCCATGCATGCGCCGAACGCAGCTCCAAGGCTTATGCAGTCACTTCGGCCCTTGGATGGGCTTTTGGTCCCCGCATGATGTACACGTAAATGTACTGGTACACCGAATTGACATGAAAACCTTTGACTCCAGCAAAAACCAAACGTGCAGTAGATGTACCGGTTCCAGACAACCACGCTGCTCTCACGTTGATGCGGAATAATTGACTAAAAAGTCACTGATGCATGTGTGATTAGCCCGATGGGCAAGCTTTAAATGCCTCTGGTGACGCAATTGGATTACTTGAAGTAATAGAAACATGGAGGTAACTAGGGTCTGTTGTTGTTGAACACGTTAAATAAACATAAGCCTACTTGTAAATACAGAGGAACCTTGGGGAATGAAAACGTAAACGGTCGCTCCCTGTCCTATTCCTTGTACCCAGCTCGTCCAGTGTGCCGGCGCAATGAGGAATACACACGCTGTGGTGGTATCTGCCAGCCGTCCTGTGGCAGCAGTGTGGTCTGCAGGGCGTGCCGTCCAGGGTGCTCGTGCAAACGGGGATACATCAAGAAAACGGCCAACGGACGCTGCATTCGCAAATCGCGATGCCCAAGTAAGTCTCTAGGTTTATCCTCAACAAACATGCCCGGAGAAATTCCAATAGTCTAACCATGTACATGATCTGCACGTCGATTAATGGTGTTAACCTGTTTACTTTACGTGGTGACATTCATAAAACAATTAATCATAATATTCATGATTCCTCCCTGCATCGTAATCTACTTTAAGCTAAATCAAATACATTACATACTTGAAGTACATTGTATATTTTCTTACGTGCTGGCTTCTCAGAACCGAAGTGTCGTCGTCACGAGGAGTACACAGCATGTGGTGGAGTGTGCCAGCCATACTGCGGTAGCAACGTCCAGTGCCGAGCTGCATGTCGCCCAGGTTGCTCCTGCAAGACAGGGTACATCAAGAAGAGTGTCTTCGGACGCTGCATTCGCAAGACACAGTGCCCAAACAAGCGTAAGTGAAAATGGCCTCCTAGCTCTCCATGTCCAGTGCATTTCGTGGCAACATGATTTGAAATGCACATCAATCCATACCAGTGGTACCAGTACCGAAAAGGAAGGTGGCCAACCGTGATAGTTTCCTACAGTATCTACCCAAGCATGTACATCTACAACGATTTACGCCAATCTGTCATAACCCTTGTCGGCCGGAAATCAATGTGTACAAGTACAGAGAATTGCACCCTCTGAAAATCCACCTTGCATCGTTTAATACTGGCATATTATACTAAATATCTGGACAGCTAGATGTTTTTTATCAGCGGAGGGCATACTGACTGGCTGAACCCATCGCAATGAAGTCTAAACAAAAAGTACAGTCGTCCCTCTTTAATCCGGCACTTTATAAACCAGCACCCTCTATAAACCAGCACCCTCTATAAACCAGCACAATTTTCAGTAGCCAAAATGTCCTCTACATGCACATTGCAGCAGTAAATCCGATTTGTTAATCCAGCACCCTCCCTAATCCAGCAGAATTTCCCATGGCACAAATGGTGCCGGATTATAGAGGGATCACTGTATAACAATGAAGGATTTACCAATCAGGGTAGAGTAGCAGGATACAATGAGAGTACTAAAAATATCAAGGTGTGATAGTGCTCACAAAGGTGTGCACAAACAAGTGAAGGATTTTTTTAAACCTGCTCAAAGCAGCAGAGTCAGAATGCTCTTACTGTGCGAATCACAGCAAGTTGCCATACATGTACATTGTATCCGTGTGATAAGTGGTTTCCGAACACGAAAACAGAGTTACGGAAAGCTTTTCGTCAACATGTATGTTGCCTTTGTGTGGTGCGCTCTGGTCTGACCTGGCCTTGAGCACAGAGCACTATGAGGAGCAAGGCCCTAGACTGTCACTTGTACATTGTAGCTGCGTTCTTTCTGCTTCATTTGCTCACGCAATCATCAGGCAACATCTGTTGCCTGATGATTGCGTGAGCATGAAACTTTTAAAAAGTAGCAGCAAACAAGCCTTGATTGTCCTTGTTGTTCTGTTGTGTATTACGCTCTGCCTTTGTGGTGTTGAGCACTGTCAGCACTCTGGGTACATCCTTCGGGTAATAGTATAATAATAAATTTCCATGATTGTGTTTGATGTGCACATACACACACGCACACAAGCACACGCGCGCATACATACCAGTACATTGTACATTGTACATTGTACATTGTACATTGTACATGTACATGTACATGCACCCAATACATGTACACATATGACTGTATACATTTTCAGTAAAAGAGTAGAGCCCACACGCTATCTTCCATGAACATTACACTGCAAAAATTCAACTCGTTTTACAATAATTATTATTACAACGTTTCGGCAAACTACCTTCATCAGGTTCCCTTTTACTTCATCATCATCATCATCATCATCATCGGCCTTGCCGAAAAAATAATAAAAGTAAAATTTTAAAAATAATAATAAACGGCATTTTACTTAGTAGACATTAATTTTGTCATTTCTATCATTCTACTTGTCTTACATGTACATGTACATGTAGGTTGTGGTCGCAATGAAGTCTACTCTACATGCGGAGGACTGTGCCAGGCATCATGCGGCAGTCGTGTGACCTGCGCAGCCTGCGGTCCGGGCTGTGCTTGCAAGCCAGGCTACATCAGGGAGTCATCGCGTACCAGTCGCTGCATTCGCACCAGCCGCTGTCCGCGTACCTATCCCTACCACTAGAAAAGATTCCTAGCGTCTTCAAGACCCATTTCCAAATAATCATACGATGAGTACAATAATATTCTTCCTCTCCATTTTTCTGTGACTTGCAACGGATGGAAGCCTGCTGGTTTGCAGCATAATGGGTTTATCGGTGTGGCCAGTAACATCTACGTAATCTTTTGTATCATTCTATACCGGATCTTTCCAGTAGAACTGAAGGTCTTTCCTCCTTTGTCTGTGCCTGCAATGCCACTCTTTTGTTTTTAAGACAGAGCACAATCATGCACGTTCACTCACCACTGTATTGTATGCACGCAGCGCACTGCCCTACTCGTGAAGCATTTATCAACAGCACAGACATTGCTGAATGGATACCAATTTACGCTTTTCGCTATCGCTATCAACAACGGTTCTATCTACAACTTCACTCTCAAAGACTTTACTCTGAAAGTAGCAGTTAGTGAAGTTGTGTGTCTGCTGGATGTAGGGCGTGCACTGTGTGAGTGATACTGTCAGTTTAGGATAATCGTGTCACACGGCACAGTGGTCAGAGAACACCACCAGTGTACTGGCTAACCAGGTAATAAACTAGGGAAGGTGTTTGCTCCCCACTATCTCGTAAGGTTATAAACCAAACTAAAGACTCGGGCACTACATGTACATGTACGTTCTGGGATAGCGCCGCTCTCCCTTCTTGGCAACAGATGCATTATCCATGACATACACTGCCAACAAAGGGGTCAAGTTACTTAGAATATTCCGTGACTCAGCGTAACTTTAGATAGCTGAACCGCTCAACAGAGGCAAGACCTTTTCAATACTGTGGAACAATGGTGTACTTCAATACGATCACATGAACCTGTACATCATTCCTATCGGAACGTTATCTACATGTATTGTGCATCTTCTTCAGGGTCCAGAATGATGTTTTATGTCTTTAACCTGACGTCTACCTACTAGATTTTTATCAGAGAGAAGCAGGCTAGTTCACGAGGAGCAATATCCCAAAAATGGTTCAACGATATGAGGGTATGAAAACACAAAATGACATTGCAAAAAGAAATGGCATTGCACTAATGTTGCACTACCACTAGTAGTGGCAGGAGATAAAGGCAGCAACAGCAGACAACCAGCAATCACACGGACATCAGGACAAGGACAAGGTGATGCTGACATCAACAAGCATTCTCAGAAGAAGCAACAGATGGAAATAAGAGGTGACACTACAAGGATACAGACGCACGCCATCCTAAGTCGGATTTTACAAGGTCGTCATCATGCTTTCACCATTTCTCCACGCTTTAAAAGCCTGAGCCACCAGTCTTTCACGGACTGCATGTTAGTTTAGTCATGCTGTGCGCTGTGCGCTGTGCGCTGTACGCTGTGCGCTGTACGCTGTGCGCTGTGCGCTGTGCGCTGTGCGCTGTGCGCTGTGCGCTGTGCGCTGTGTGCTGTGCGCTGTACGCTGTACGCTGTACGCTGTAACGTTACGCTGTGCGCTGTACGCTGTGTGCTGTACGCTGGCTATTGATTTTAATGACGTGCTACACAGTTTGCATTATCGTTCGCTTTCATTTTAATTATTTAAAGTGCTTCTGCCCGATTTGGCTCCTACCAATGTTATTCCGCCACCTAATAGGCACATTATTTACCTATGTTACCTATTTTCTGCGTGATTTTAAGCAATATCTTCCCAAGAAGACGTGGATTTGTCGAAGCTATTGTCTTTTCATTAGAATCACACCCCGCACCTGTTATATGGTTCAGTTATCTGCAGTTAGTACTGTTTCGTTTTGTAACACTGTGGCCAAGCGAACTACAGACGTATAAAGACGCCAGTTCCTGCCGTGAAAGACAGACCTTGTGTTCCCAATGCTACTGGGAAAGCACCTGCTTTCCAGACGCTCAGAGATTCAATCAGAGTACGTATTTAGCGAGTGCAAAATGTTCTGGCATGGATTAGCGGTGCTCCACAGTGCCAAGGATTCAGCCACGTACGGAGGAAAAGTTGTGTCCTCAAAATATGAGTGTATGTGTGTCCAACTCTGTCTCTCACAAAGCAACCAAAACTAGAAGTCTGCGCGTGCTGTACGAATAGAGTCTCGGCGAAACCAACTACGTTCCGGTGCTACTATTTCCCCAGAGAGGCTGGACTGACAAGACTCTCCACTGCCCCACCTTGTATCTTTTCTCTCCTTGGGTCGTCTGTCATTTCATTCTCCTGTGTTTTGCTGCGGTTCATTTGCCGCCTTATTCAGTGCAACGGTGATTTTCGCATATCATCATGCATGGAAACAATGCTGAAGTAACTTAGTTAAGTTCAGCGTTGAACAATCCCGGTCCCAGCGGAGTTCACCCCACTCACCAAGTCCACAGACCAGATCATGTGCATGTGTTTACCGGACTATTATACCCTGTGATCTTGGCACATGCTGGACGACCAGTTGGAGAGTTGACCCAATCAGCCATCTAGAATGGGACATGGCTATTGTCAATTTTTCGGCACATTTACTATTGCTGACAAGTGTCAGGCAACCTGACTGTCACGCATCACCCAGAGACAAACAGAGGCCAGACTCATCCACATTCTTGACGGGTACACGTGCAATGAAAATGCTCCCAGCTAGACTACGTGATGAACATTCGATTCGTAGCTACATTGTATATGTACTGTATACCCAAAATGACTCTAAATGGAACATGTATATGGGTCAAAATAATAACTATTGATTAACAAGGGGCTCCATGGTACCTGTGTATTTGAACACTATACGTACACTGTACGGTATACGTCATGTACATGATGTAGTGATACAGGTGTATGAGTCTATGACTATCATTGTTTGATCAGTAAGCTCATCCCAGGGGACAAATGATTGCTGCTGGAGGATAGATTCGGCGGAGGACTAAATACTTCAAAGCATAGTGAGTGGAACGTTGGAGTGGAACGTTGAAGTCAACATGTTCAAAATCTTCTTGTGTAATGTTACAGGTGTATTTGTAAGCCATTAGTCTGCCCACGCCCCCCCCCCCTCTCCCGTGAGCCACATTGAATATGTGTGTGTAAGCGTCAGTTGTTTTACGTCATGTCTAATTAACTGCGACTGTGATCGTGCCAACGTTAATATAGCCTTTCATTGCCAGCATGCATCACCTGACGATACATGATAGCTGAGTAATAATCACTATAGTTTTACTTAATGTTGTATTCCAGGTTGATTAGCAATCTCGAGCATATTGATTCGTCATTAAAATCGGCATAATGCATAGCACATGTGTCCTCCATTTCGTCTTGTAGCATATCATTAAGCATTACATTGGGTAGCACATTGTTTACATGAAATCACTCATCCGTATTAGTGAAGAATGGGAAGTTCGTGTATGGCCAGCCTCCAGCCAAACGTTTTAGTGGGCGTGCTGCGATTGCGTTCACGTGCTCTGAAGAGATCTCTCCACTTGAGAACAATACTTTAATGGATGACACATTGTACAAGGGTAAAATGGTAACATTCCCATATTGTTCGGGACATTGGTGACTGAGCGTGGCAGGTATTCCGCAAGTGCGTACGGAGCGATTGTACCCTAGTCTCACTCTACTAGCATGGGGGGGGGGGACTTCACAATCAGAGGCTGAAGGTCAATAGAGCATCAGCATCCAACGTTCAGCTCATACATGTACTTGTACTTGTATGGATCACACAGTCATACAGACTACAACCAGAACATCAATCATTCACTGAAGTCAACAGAGGCACAATTGCTCCCTGAACAGAACAGAGGCACAATTGCTCCCTGAACGGAACAAAGACACAAATACTCATGACCTGCCATGCTAGTGAACGAAGTATAAACATGATTGTCATGTTCGTCATTTTCCAAGTACAGTATGCTCAGCACCTGTCAACCTTGATGAATGGAAGCCGACAATTCACCTCACTAGGGCATATGACAAAGCGCGACTGAAGATCAATGACAGGTCCCTGACACGACCACTGATGCCTTTCGCGTATGACTACAGTAAACAGTCATTGCAGTAATGCTTTGGCGCCACTTCAAGCGTCATCGTCATCCATTTAGATGCCTGTATTAATGGAGATGTGCCATAACACAATGTACTGTACACGTATATCATGGCATTCGTTTAAATGGTGTTCTCGACAATACTGACTAACGAAAATCATCACATTTTTGATTCTCAATTCAAGCAGGAAACCTGTTTGTGTAATCAGCCATGGCTAGAGTCTTATGTATGCTATCATGCTACGCTTGGGTCATATTATCACAAAGCACTGTGTGTTTTTCATCTTACATTGGTTTGTGTGTTCGCGCATACAGTGGTGTGCCATCTGTAGGCGCTGCACTATGGGACGCCGTGAATTGCCACATTTGTTACTGCACAAAAGGACACGTGCACGACCTTGAGATCTCCCTGAAATGTCCCTCACCTGTCCGAGCGGGCTGTGCGTTGAAGGCACATTGGCAACTGGGAGATGGCACTGATTTGAAAGGCATCACGCGTAGCTATTCAAGACTATGACAGCGACGCGTTGCAGATAAAACCCCACGCAGCATGTGCTAATCCTTACTGCCTTGGTGTTGACCAGACTGCAAGCCGTCAGCCCACGCACGGTCCTTGTGAGGAACTTTGAACGGATGGTACAGGCTGCACGTGTCCTCGCAATATTGTTAATTAAGACATCTACATGTACATGGAAGGTCGCTGGACCTGGATACTGTCCTGGCAGGTTGTACCATTGTTCTCCAACAAACAAAACTGGTCTAGCATCATAAGCACTATTGTACACACATACCATGACACTCACACGACAATCAAGGTAACTTCACCATCGGCAATCCGTCCGATCCGAAGAGCCAGTCAGGTCCACTTCACTGCAGTTGTCTTCAGGATCGTCTAGGCCGGCTGTATGAGAGCAGAGCGGCCGCTGACCGTATAAAAAACCGGCTATAACTCACAGCTAAGTCAGAATCTAAGTGAGCGAGAGCCGCAAACAAGCCTCTGAGAATTAGTTATCACCAGCGAATCTTCGTTTTCGTTTCTTCGGATATTATCAGAGAGAAAGAGAGATAGGTTGTATCGTCGCTATGGCCCGTTCTTTGACCATCGCTCTGGTTTTAACCGCACTGGTTGCTGTCAACTCCCTCAGTAAGTGATCAAAATTCATCACGAATGTTGAAGACCGAGAAAGACTTTCATGGGGTGTACTAGGCTTTCTTGACACCTCTTGTCCCCACCTCCTGGTGATAAGCTAACATTGGAAAATCATTTCTACCACTTAGACTGTGGACAGACTTGTGGAAATCTATCCAATCAGGGCACTAGGGAATACTGTCCTGCAACTCTAAACTACTTGTAGAGTTTATAGTAAAGAAAAAGGACCAAGGAACTACAAGTTACGCTAAAATGTCCACTAACACCACTAGGGACTTGACAATCAGCTCATGAGTTTTTACTTGTAGTTCCTTGGTCCGTTTTCTTCACTTTATTGATCATTGGCTCCCCATTTGCTTCTATACTTGTAGAGTGGTATTTACATGTATATAACTGCTGCTTGGAACACCTTTACACTGCATAGTTATTATTATATGGATTCGTCACTTTTTTGCCTACGTCCGCTTGGCAATGAAAGTACTTGTGGACAACTTCAAAATGTTTCTTGTGCGAAGCAGCAAGTTGTTTTTTTCTCTAGTCGAACGGAGCGCACCAAGCAACATTATCCGGTTAGCTTTTGTGTCACCTCCCACCGCTTTAGGAGCTACATCTGCGCCTTAGGCTTAGATTTGTGCAATGTGGTGGCATTCCCACGGATGCTGAAACATCATTCTAACTGAGTCTCAAGATATTTTATTGTGTTCTGCCATGTGGATAGTCATGCTGTTCTATGCTCTCGTCTTTTCCTACAGGTATTGTTCCAGCTGACAAGGAGGGAATATGTCCTCGTGTTATGACCCGACCAGCGTGCTTCCCAGGGGACGAGGTTGACGAATGTACGTTTGATGTTCAGTGTACTGGTCGTAAGAAGTGCTGCCCGGATGTATGTGCCAGGACATGTAGATGCCCAGAGCTTACCTGTAGGCTGGACTGCTCCGACCAAGGTGGCTTCGCTACGGGACTCGATGGCTGTCCAGTATGCCGATGCGCCAGTCCGCCAACTGAAGAGCCGCCAACGCTCAACTGCAACCTGGTCGACTGCAAGCCGGTTGAATGCTACAATGCTATCACCCCGCCGGGACAGTGCTGTCAAGTTTGCCCAAGTAAGTACTTGCTCAGTGTGCTACCAATCTAGAATCTACTAGCATGTCCGGAATTTTCAATTCACGCGACATGCATTGTGGGAGTAGTAGGGAAAGTCTCTAAGACACGTCTCCTTTTACGTTTTCCAGACAGTCGGGTGGAGTGGGGCATCCAACTTTGGCGAGAACAGCGAGAGTTTAACCTTTCACACTTACCGACTGTCTTTCTGGTTTCTTTCCCTACATGTACACCTCAATAGTTTGCTTATCGATTGTCACTTTTAATGGTTTCACTTTTTCAGTGGATAATGTGAACTACTGATGAGGCGAACTACGTATTGTTGCTTAATTTCCTACAAGTATAAGTATAACAGCATGTACATGTACATCTGTCATAGAATAATGGTGCCTTTGTTTTTGTGCCTGTGTTCATGTAATCCTCATGACAATACTCTCTTTGCTGTTGCTTTTGTGGATGTTTAGCTCTGCCACCACTCGACTGCGCTCTCGTCCTTTGCGCTGCTCCTGATTGTCTTAACTACTATGTTCCTGAAGGACAGTGCTGCCCAGTGTGTCCAACACGTAAGTACAATATTTCAGCAAGGAAAAAACATCCGCACTTAGACTGTCCTTCTGGTTTCTTTCACAGTCATCGTAATATTTGCTTATCGATTGTCACTGTTAGTGGTTTCACTATACTGGGAACGGTTTGAACCAACTCAAACATACGATAGGAGGACTTGAACAGAGAATGTCATGGCATCGGTCACCTGCGGACAAGGCGAATTAAGAAGCCTGCTTTGAATTTTACTATATTCAAGACCATATCCAGTGCCTTTGTATTTCTGCTTGTGTTCATGTAATGCGCATGACAATATTCTCTTTGCTGTTGCTTTTGTGGATGTTTAGCTCTGCCACCACTCGACTGCGCTCTCGTCCGATGCGCTGCTCCTCATTGTGACAACTACTATGTTCCTGAGGGACAGTGTTGCCCAGTGTGCCCGCCACCGCTGGACTGTACAGCGGTGCTGTGTCTGCGACCAGTGTGCTCCGATGGATCTGAGCCAGTCACTCCACAGGGACAATGTTGTCCAGTCTGCCCTACACGTACGTGCACAATGTACACTGCATGCATGCCACTATAAACACTACTAAAGTGAATCATACCATACGCAAACTGGACACGACTGGAGACACAAGTAGATATTGAACAGTGCTGATTCTGAGCCTAATTTCCGTTCCCAGCAGATATACTTTCAAGGTGCACAATTACAGTGTTTTCAATTCGCCGGTTTAGTAGAATGCAATAGAGTATCATGACCACATGCGTGCTAATCATTTCCATGGTTTCGACTTGGAAGTTTCCTATTCAATTTTATATTTATCTTGCACGTCACTATGTGATTGTATCTGACTCTTTCCTCTCCACCAATTTGTGTTTCCCTGCAGCTGGTCCGACAAAGCCTTCCCTGGCCACAGTACCGCCTACCCTGGCCACTGTGCCACCAACACCAACGTGCCCAAAGAACGAAGTCTACTCGCAATGTCAAGGTGGTGCATGTCAGCCTACGTGCCAGGGTCCAGTCAACTGCCTTGTGTGCAGTCCTGGATGTCGATGCAAAGCTGGCTACGTCAAGCTCTTCACCAATGGGCCATGTGTGCCAGAGAAAAACTGTCCAAGTAAGTACCTTGTGTTGGAAGATTACAGTATACTTTGGTCTCTGTCTCTTCGTCTTCCCGAATAAATGTCGTCCTACCTACCTGTTCCCATTGTCCGTGGTAATGTCCGGAGAATATGCCGTCGTCCTGTTAGACCTCAACATTTGTAATAGAAAACCTCACTACGCAATACCCACCCCAGTTTCCCCAAGACCACAAACCACTAAAACCGACGATGGTTGATATGATGATGTTCAGAAGTACGATGCCCCTTCAACAGATTTCAACTCTTCTAAGATGCCAAAACCACGCCATTATCGCCGTACCATGGATGGTTTGTGTACACTCTGATTACAATGACTGACTACAGCTTACAAAGGCACATAACTAGGCCCAGGGTAGTTGACCGTTCAAACTTTTGGCAATATGAGCATGGTTTTTGAGCTGGCATTGCCTTCTTCTCTATGTGAAACAATGTTGTGCAGCTTGCGGCGCGAATGAGGAATACCAGCAGTGCGGCGGCGCATGCCAGCCAACATGTAGCAGCTCCGTCGTGTGCAGGGCTTGCTTCCCTGGCTGTGCTTGCAAGACTGGCTACATCAAGCGGTCGGCCAATGGCCCGTGTATTCCCAAGAAACTCTGCCCAAGTAAGTGAATTCCCCACCTTGAATTCTCCATGATGGTCGTCGCTTCCTAATGCTTTCAATGCTTTCTTCGATCTCAATCTGAGTTATAATTCAAAGACTACAACACCCATACAACACCACATGATGTTCCTTCAGCCAAAGTGTACGTAGGTCTTTTGAAGATGAAGGAAGCTCTGAATTGCTCTCGTTCCTGGTTTCATTTTTGAATTAAGACCACGTTATCCATATCATAGCACAGGGTCCCTGTAGATTTGCCTACAGTATGCTTTTGAACTTGATGATGATGTGGGGAGTAGTAGTGAGAATGTCAGGCTGTTTAGAAACAAGTTACAACTCCAAGTTGATAGCCCAATCTATCATTGTCAGATGTGGTTTGGGCTTTATGGACAATCTATCTGCAAATAGGGAAAGCGCAATTCAGTCCGGGGTGTATTTCCGAGAACTGTTTTTCAAAATCTTTCCTTACAAAATCTAGGATAATTATACTTCATGCATCTTCGGTAATGTTGCAGGACACTCAGTTGTAATTCTACCTCTCTTTCCAGGTTGCCCCGCCAATGCTGAATACACTGAATGTGGTGGCATTTGCCAACCAACATGCACGTCTATCTACACGTGTTACGCCTGCTCGCCTGGCTGCTCATGCAAGCAGGGCTATATCCTGTCTAGTGCGAACGGACAATGCATCCCGACCAAGAAGTGCCGAGGTGTGTATAAAGGAAAGTGAACACACGTTAACATTAACGTGAACGTTAACGTTAACATAATACGTCATAACATACAACCGTAGTCCAGTTCCGTTTTCAATCATCTGCCATCGACATGTACATGTACATGTACATTGTTCGTTTCACATTTCAATTTCGTTATCAGCTTTCGCTATGCTATACACACAAGTATGGTATGCACTACTCTGTACCGTCGAAGCACATTCTCGATTTCAATCATCCTGAAGAGTATACCAACTCTGCAGCCAATTGCCTAGCTAACTATGATCTACATGTAGAAACACTTCGTTTTACAAACTACCACTGTCTTGCAGGGACATTAGAAGTCTTGTTGGCGAGCAATATTTTGCAAGTCATTCTATAGCAGTTCTTGATTATAGTCTCCGACAATTGTTGGCTTGATACACCATCATTTACTCGTATCTACACTTTCTATCCTATACATATTTTGTTCAAAACTTCGTTTCCTGGACTCCTGGTAGATGCTCACTGCTGAGTGTATGCTGAGTGCACCTTATGTATACACTAATGATGACCACAGCAATCCAGTACTGAGGGTTCTCTTGGAAGTCGCTCCTATCTCCATATCTTCAAATACGTACTACTAGTCCGACGTTCCAACGAAAGGAGGCATGAAAGGGTTGTGTGATCACTGACAATTATTCTAAACATTTGGGGAGGATGTTTATAGGCGTGGGCCAAGTTGGCTGTAAAAGCGCTGCAATCGCCTCGCAAAGTGGCCATTAGCTGACCCAGCTAACTAATGCAGCGGTCACAAATTTCAGCCTATCGGATAGTTATTGTCAGGTGGTGGGTTTAGAGAATACGTTGGCACTCTCACTATACATGCTTCTCTGTGGTCTACGAGGCGTAGGTACACTGAGAAAATGCTGCCATTGTCGCTAGTCCTAACCACCTACCCTGCCACAGTTTTATGCTTGCTTGTCCATTCTCAACACTCCTATAAAAACAAAAACTAAACTGCTAACTCAATGACTCAACATGTGTGTGTGTGTTTCAGCGAGCGTTTGTGTGTGAGTGTATGTGTGTGTATGTGTGTGGTGTGCATTGCCTGGTATCGAACTGCTGAGATGTCTGAGGGCCTGTATATTATCATGAGGTCTGTTTCGAGCTGTTTCCGAGCTGTTTGCAAGACTTGACATGTATTTTAAAGCCTAAACTAACCAGTATTTAATGACACATCTTGCAGCAATCTAATCTCATAACCACTAATCCGCGTAAATATCAAACATGTTGAGGTCTTTTGTGGCAGTTCCCCGTTGCAGTACAACTAGGCGAAGATGCTCGTAGCCTCGAATGAATGGACGTCGAAATGGACGCTGTCAGCCCTGCCAGCGCAGTATTTGCAGGCATCGCAGCGTTCCGCGACTCGGAGTTTGTAGGCGGCCCCACGGGCCCACCGCCTATCAACGTCGCACGAGGAGTAATAGCCGTGTTGGATCTCGTCATGCCAAGCGCCGGCGTGCGTGTAAACATACCTGCAAGAATTAAGTACAATGTGGATAATATCTTAATTCCGTTCTCTTACACTGTAGAAGTAGACTGGGCAGTTCTTACTTTCATACATGTGCATTTTTCACAGTCTACGCACAGTTGAGCCACCGCGTATATATTGGTATGCTGAGGTGCTAGTACTCCCCAGAGAGGCTGGACAGACCACACTCTCCACCTTTCCACCTTGTTTGTTCTCTTCCCTCTCTCCAAAATTATAGGGTCGTCTGTCATGTCATTCTCCTGTGTTTTGTTGTGGTTCATTCGCCCACATATTCAGTAAAACGGTGATGCCCCCCAGTGGAAACGTGTTGCAATCCTGTTATGTATATTGTGCATGAACATGCATAGTGACAATGCTGAAGTAACTTAAAAAAAATAGATAAGTTTTAAAAGCGTTGAACAGTCACGGTCCCAGCGGAGTTCACCCCACTCACCAAGTCCACAGACCAGATCGTGTGCATGTGTTTACCGGACCATTATACCCTGCGATCTTGGCACATGCTGGAAGACCAGTTGGAGAGTTGACCCAATCGGCCATCTTGAATGGGGCATGGCTATTGTCAATTTTTCAGCACATGTACACTTGCTGATAGGTCCCAGACCTCCTCCTGACTGTGTTGGTTGGTTGGTTGGATGGATTTATTTAAAGTCGTACAACAAACAGGCATATCTGCCTCCTTATATGAAGACGAGTTCTGGCAGTAAAACATTTTAAAGAAAAGAGAAAGGAAAAAAAAGAAGAGAAGATCAAGAATGTATACTGAGCATACAGCTAGCCGGAGACTGAGCACAGCTAGCCTCGGCATGTATCAGAGCATCAGGATTACTACATACTACTAGTAGTATATGTAGGACTCAGTATAGAGTCCATGCACTATATGATGTCCAGCACCCTATATAGAGTCCATTGGTCCAAAATCCACTATACAGAGTCCAGGAGTCCACTCAGTTTTGATCAGCTTCATCCTGCCGCGCAATCCCCTATAAGGAGTACACTTTTTCTACAAGTCCCCTATTCACAGTCCAGGAGTCCAGTTTATCCAGTCACGCCGTCCTGTGTGTTGTGCCCGAAAGAGAACAAACACAAGTCATTTTCAGTTTTGCTTGCCTCGTGGCAGCGCATTCCTTTCTTCACTTCAGCCATGGCTGCCAATTCTGCTGTGCAGTTGCTGACAGTAATCTGTCTCGAGGTAACCAAGGATGATAAGGAGACGTTCAAAATCAAATCTGGAAAGCGTCTTGTGGTTCTCTGAAGACGTTTCATCAGTGCGCGGGATGAAAGCAGAAATTGCAGAACGAGAAAGGTTCAGCACAGTTCAAATCTGACGAGTCAGGTTCACTGACGCTCTCTTTCGTTCGACGCCACAAGGATCCCCTGTTTGGCTGGCCATTGCTGCCAGTAAGACGTTTGAACGGTTTCATCAGAGCGAGGGATGAAAGCAGAAAGCGGAGAAAGAGAAAAGTTCATCACAGTTGCAATCTGACGAGTCAGATACACTGACACTCTCTTTCGTTCGACGCCACAAGGATACCCCTGTTTGACTGGACAAGAGCTGCCTGTACCACCGTGTCAAAAGGCTGTCCAACTACATCATCCGGGCAGGACGATGACTGAGGTAAGGAAGCTTTTATTCGTTTCGATTTGTCTGCTGTTCTGTCGTTATGCTTGAATTTTTTTCCATTTTCAAGGAGCGTATCGCGTTTGTTTGATGTTGCTTGAATGAATGCCCTAAAAGTAATCAACCACTTCGTAATAGTCCTCAAGGACTGCAAGGACTTTGCATCAATCGTATATGATTGTCTAGCTATCATCAATTATTATTTTATTTCATGAGAAATGTATTTTTATCCCTGTGATAATAATATTATGTGAACTCCACGACACTCTTCCTGTAGTATGATGTCAAATACAATGGGATCCACAAACGCAGTGCCAGTGTACTAGTAGTAGTAGGACTAGGAGGATTGCTTGTATGCCAATTACAAGAAAAAGCTTCTCAAGCTAATACTCGTATTCCCTGAAGTAACCGTTTTGATGTCACGAACATGACACTTAAGTTGTGTCAGTGAAACTGCCTCGTGACAACAAATCATTGCATTTCCATCTTGGGGAAGACTGACTGACAGCAACGCTATACAGATTGTTCAAATCATCTCATTTCAATTTAGTTGCAGTGAAGTGAAACACTGTGTACACTACATGTATGTTGGTGTGTCTGTGCGTCTTGAGTGTGCACAAACGATCTTATTCCTCGTATTACTAATAGATTATTGTCCCCACCGTCACCTGTTCACAGGTCTTTGAGTGGATGGATTTTCATTGAGCATCACATTCGTTGAGAACTTGGTAGTTGTGTGCTCCCATGCATCATTACGGTAATAAGCATATCCTTGTGCTATCTATTTGTTGCAGGTGTGCTGATCTTCAGAAGCTTGCGGAACTGAGTGCTGCTGAACATTTGCATGGCCATGAGCAATGGTGAAGCTTGCTATTGCACTCTCAGCATGTGCTAGTATTATGCTGACCACTGCACTATGTTACTCTCTTACACTACTACGTGTATGTAAACGTGCGTGTACCCGTCCCCGTAGGCATTCGTTTCGTATAATTATTTGTTATCCCTCTTGACTTTACATGTAAATGGGTGGACGTTTGCATGGCTGTTGGAGTTGCGTGTGTATTGTGTCTTTACTCTTTTCTTGGTGTTTTCTTGGCGTTGTATAAGTTTGTGTGTGTGTGTGTGTGTGTGTGTGTGTGTGCGCGTGCGCGCGCACAATAATTTGAAAACGAATAATTAATCCTGGGCTCTCCATTATTCTCTTTCGATTCTTGGGTTTTTTCTAGGTATATTCTTGGCGTTGTGTGGGTGTGTGCATGTGTGTGTGCGTGCACAATTTTGGCAACACTACATGATTGAGATATTGTAATTTGCAGCGTCTGCGAAGAGACCACTTGATTTCAGGATGGTGTTTGTAGGGTTTTCATGTAATGAAGTGGCTGCAGTGGCGCCTCAATACATATTTGTTTATCTTGAGAAGTGAATGATGTAAAGGATTAAAGAAAGAGGCCGTTTTCTGGTTAATATTCACTGCTTACAGCAGATCCTATGTCTAATTTCGAACTCGATAGGGGATGCCTAATTGGCTGGACTTTATACAGGGAGTGTTGTCCACATAAACTATGATAAAGACTCTTTATAGTTGATTTCAAAGTTTGGACTCCGTACAGTTGATTTTGGACCAATGGACTCTATATAGGGGTGAAGCCAATTGGCTGGACTCTATACAGGGAGCGATGTCCATCGAAACTTTGAGCCACAGTTGATTCCAAGTTTGGACTCTGTACAGTGGATTTTGGACCAATGGACTCTATATAGGGGTTGGACATCATATAGGGGCTGGACGCTCTACTGAGTCCAACATATATACTCGAGATAGGGGAGGGGGGTTGTTGTCATGCTACAGTAAGACAATACGCTGTGTGGCATGTACATGTATACATTACCCAGAGATAAACATACGCCAGACTCATTCACATTCTTGACGGGTACACGTACACTGCTCCCAGCATGCTGAACAAACGATTCGTAGCTACATTGTACATGTACATGTACATCCAAAATGACTAGTACTAGTATTTTTTTTTTTTTTTTTTACTATGTTCACATAACCAGCTCGAAAAGAATAAGGAAAGACAATGGTACAGAGACTAGGACAAACGTGACAACTAATGAGCAGGCGCTGCACCGAGACGCAGCAGTGATGGTGGGGCATTGATGACTCTGCCGACCTGAGGTCTCGGCGTCACGGCCAAAAACACGCACCAAAAACAATGAAAAAAAAGAAGAAGATAGAGCTGTACAGGTAAGAAAGATGCAAAAACCCAAGGCTTAACACGAGCGATTGTGGGGGAGAAACTGTCTTAGCGTCATACTATTCATATATTATTATGAATCATACGGAATCGACTGCCCAGAGCCAGTTTGTGCTGCGAAGATGGCGGTAAACATTCGTTTTGAATGATTGCATTCTCTTGCTGTGGGGAGGCTGGGATAGGAGAGCGGCAGGGAGGGAGTTCCAATCGCTGATGCTGCAGTGTGGGAAAGAGCGCTTCAGTGCCAGCGGGGCAGATGCAGGCAGCTGGTGTTGGAGCTGGTGGTCATGGCCACTGACAGCACCGTGCTCGCTGCGAGTTCTGGGGTTGGTAGAGACGATTTGGCGCGGTGGCAACACAGAGAGCAGCTGCGGAGGACCAGGCAAGTAGTGCAGCTTGTACAGGCAGGCAAGCGAGGCAACAGTGCGGCGGATGGCCAGGCTGGGTAGGTGTGCCCCAGGGCCGATAGCATGAAGCGCGCGGCGCTGAACATTGTTCAGACGCTGGAGGTGTATATGGATTGAATTCGATTCACAAGGGGCTCCAGGTCACCTGCGTACAGTATTTGAACCCATACATGTACACGTACTGTATACAGTGTTCCATGTGCATAAAAGGACTAAGTATCACTTCTTGAAGTTACATATACAATGTAGCTCGTCCCAAGGGACAAATGATCGCTGGTCGATGGATTTTGCTGAGGACTAATTACTTCAAAGCAAGTACATGTAACGGGAATGTTGCACTCAACATGTTCAAGGTCTTGTTGTGTAGTAATGTTACTCGTGCATTTGTAGGCCATTAGTCTGCCCACGCTCCTCCTCCTGAGCCACATTGAATATCTGTTTCAACGCATCAGTTGTTTTCCGTCGCGTCTGATTATCACTGACTGCAATCGTGCCAACGTTTTCCTTTTAGCCTGTTTCATTGCCAGGGTGCCTCACATGACGATGCATGATCGTTGAGTAATACCTACAGTTTTACTCAATTCTGTAGTCCAGGGTGATTAGCAATCCCGAGCATAATGATTCGTCATTAAAATCAGCATGATGCATAGCACATTGGTCCTCCATTTGGTCAATGTGTGTTATGTAGCATATCATTACATTTTAGCATTACATTGGGCAGCACATCACTTATATTTCACCCGTATTAGTGAAGAAAGGGAAGTTCATGTATGGCCAGACTCCGGCCAAACGTTTTAGTGGGCGTGCTGCGATTGCGTTCACGTGCTCTGAAGAGATCTCTCCGCTTGAGAACAATATTTTAATGGATGACACATTGTACAAGGGTACCATGGTATCATTCCCTATTGTTCGGGACATTGTCGACCGAGGGTGGCAGGTATTCCGCAAGTGCGTACGGAGCGATGGCACCCTAGTCTCACTCTACTAGCAGGGATTATCTTCTCACTCTACTAGCAAGGGAGAAGGGGACTTCACAATCAGAGGCTGAACGAAGGTAGAACATCAGCCAACGTTCAGCTCATACTTGTACTTGTACGTGTATGGATCACACAGTCATACAAACTACAACCAGAACGTCAATTGCTCAGTGAAGTGAACAGAGACACAAGTACTCAGTGAAGTCAACAGAGACACACATACTCACTGAAGTGAACTGAGGCACAAATACTCACTACATGCTATGCTAATGAACACAGTATAAACATGGTTGTCATGTTCGTCATTTTCCAAGAACAGAATGCATGTATGCTCAGCACCTGTCAACCTTGATGAATGCCCGATGCACGAGACAGCGCACTAAACGGGCGCCCTGCATTATAATAATGACAAAGCGCGACTGAAGTGAAGAGCAATGGCAGGTCCCTGACAAGGACACTGACGCGCTTTACGTGTGAATACCGTGAACAGCCATTGCCGTAATGCATTGGCGTCACTTCAAGCGTCATCGCCATCAATTTAGATGCCTGTATTGACGGACATGTGCTGGAACAAATGTAGACGACTATAATATTATCATGGCACTCGTTTAAATGGTGTCCTCGACAGTACTGACTCAGGAAAATCATCAAATTTTTGATTCTCAATTCAAGCAGTAAACCTGTTTGTGTAATCAGCCATGGCTAGAGTCTTATGTATGTAATCATGCTACGCTTGGGTCATATTATCACAAAGCACTTTGCGTTTTTCATCTTACTTTCGTTTGGGTTGTTCGCGCTAACAATTGGCTACAGTTACGTGCCATCTGTAGGACATTAGCGTGTTGCACTGCACTATGGGAGGCTGTGAATTGCCAAATGTGTTACTGCATAAAGGGACACGTGCGCGACGGTGAGATCTCACCAAAATGTCCCTCACCTGTCTGAGCGGGCTGTGCATTGAAGGCAAATTGGCAAATGGGAGATGGCACTGATTTGAAGGCATCACGCAATAATCCGAGCAGCTATTCACGACTGTGACAACGCCGCAGTGCAGATAAAAAACCCACGCAGCATGTGCTAATCCTTACTGCCTTGGTGGTGAAGCCGTCAGCCCACGCACGGTCACTGCGATGAACTTTGAACGTATGGTGGATCTAGAGGCTGCACATGTCCTCACAATCTAGTTAGGGCTTCTACATGGAAGGTTGCTGGACCTCGATACTGTACTGGCAGGTTGTACCATTGTTCCCCAACGACCATAACAGGTCTAGCATCATAATCACAATGAACACACATACCATTGTACCATGACATTCACACCAAAATCAAGGTAAGTTCACCATCGCCAATCTGTCCGATCCGGAGAGCCAGTCAGGTCCACTTCACTGCAGTTGTCTGCAGGATCGTCAAGGCCGGCTGTATGAGAGCAGAGCGGCCGCTGACCGTATAAAAGACCGGCTAGAATTTATAGCTCAGTCAGAATCTAAGTGAGCGAGAGCAGCAAGCAAGCCTCTGAGAAATAGTTATCACCAGCGAATCTTCGTTTTCATTTCTTCAGATATTATCAGAGAGGAAGAGAAATAGCGTCGCTATGGCCCGTTCTTTAACCATCGCTCTGGTCTTAACCGCCCTGGTTGCTGTCAACGCCCTCAGTAAGTAATCAAAATTCATCACGAATGTTGAAGACCGAGAAAGACTTTCATAATATACTAGGCCTTATTGGCAAAAAGCGTCTACAAGTCAAGACCGTGGTGATAGCTATTCCTGACTCGAGCATCCACACATCCTGGTGATAAGCTATCATCGGAGAATCTTTTCTACCTCTTGGACTTTGGACCGGCTTGTGGAAATCCATCCAATCATGGCACTAGGGATACTGTCCTGCAACCCAAACTAGAGTGTTATTTCTACTACGGCTACTTGTCACACCTTTACATGGTTTATTTTAAAAGGTTTTCATTATTGTGCGGATTCGTTTCTTTTTGCCTACACCCGCTTGACAATGAAAGCACTTGTGGACAACTTCAAAATGTTGCTAGTACGAAGTATCAAGTTGTTTCTTTTCTCTTGTCGAACGGATTGCACCAAACAATATTATCCAGTTAGGTCCAGCGTTCCACCATGTTGATATTCATGCCGTTCTCTGTACTCGTCTTTTCCTACAGGTATTGTTCCAGCTGACAAGGAGGGAACATGTCCTCGTTTCATTTCCCGACGACCGTGCTTCCCAGGGGACGAGGTTGACGAATGTACGTTTGATGTTCAGTGTACTGGTCGTAAGAAGTGTTGCCCGGATTCATGTGCCAGGACATGCAGATGTCCAGAGCTTACCTGTAGGCTGGACTGCTCCAACCAGGGTGGCTTTGCTACGGGACTCGATGGATGTCCAGTATGCCGATGCGCCAGTCCTCCAACTGAAGAGCCGCCGACGCTCAACTGCAACCTGGTCGACTGCAAGCCGGTTGAATGCTACAATGCTATCACGCCGCCGGGACAGTGCTGTCCAGTTTGCCCAAGTAAGTCTCAGTCTGCTACTAATATACCAGGTACATGTAGATGTACTAGTATGTCCGGAATTGTCACTTCACGCGACGTGTATTGTAGGAGTAGTACTAGTAGGGAAAGTCTCTAAGATAAGTCTCCTTTTACGTTCTCCCGACAGTCGGGTGGAGTGCGGCACCCAACTTTGGCGAGAACAGCGAGAGTTTAACCTTCCACACTTACCGACTGTCTTTCTGGTTTCTTTCCCTACATGTACACCTCAATAGTTTGCTTATCGATTGTCACTTATAATAGTTTCATTTTTGCAGTCAGTGGATACCATGGATACTGTGAATCGTGTGAACCAGCGCAAACATACGATAGGAGGACTTGAACAGGCAATGTTGTCGTATCTGTCACCTGCTGATGAAGCGAATTACGTATCGTTGCCTAATTTCCTATATAAGTATAACCGCATATTATACATGTACATCTTTCATGGAATAATGGATCTTGTGCCTTTGTTTTGGTGCCTGTGTTCATGTAATCCTCATGGCAATACTCTCTTTGCTGTTGATTTTGTGGATGCTTAGCTCCGCCACCACTCGACTGCGCTCTCGTCCGATGCGCTGCTCCTCATTGTGACAACTACTATGTTCCTGAGGGACAGTGCTGCCCAGTGTGCCCGCCGCTCGACTGTACAGCGGTGCTGTGTCTGCGACCAGTGTGCTCCGATGGATCTGAGCCAGTCACTCCACAGGGACAATGTTGTCCAGTCTGCCCAACACGTAAGTGCACAATGTACACTGCATGCCACTATAAAACACTACTAAAGTGAATCATACCATACGCAAACTGGACGCGACTGGAGACACGAGTAGATATCGAACAAAATGTAGAAAGGAAAAAGGGCATACATGTATGGAAACGAGTTTTAAAAAAAGAGTAACTCTCCACCACTGTAACTAGATACTATACAGTCAGTCAGTCAATACCCGAGTTTCAGATATCGAACAGTACTGAATATCAGAATAATTCCCGTTCACAGCAGATATACTTCCAAGGTCCATTTGCATGGGCAGAATCACAGTATTCTCAACCCGCCGGTCGGAAGGATGCAATAGAGTGTCATGCCGGAGTGCTCACCGACTTGTCAGTTTGAGCACTCTGGCAAGGTACGTTCGGGCTTGGCTTAAATCTGGCTTTGGAAATTTTATTTTTCATTGCAATTAGGTTCGGCCTCATTTTCTCTGTGCTGCGCTGATAAGTTCGCAAAGGACGAAACATTTCTATCCGCAGATTGAGTATTCATTTTCCTATAAATTTCGCACGTCACTATCTGAATATCTCTGACTCTTTCCTCTCCACCACTTTGTGTTTGCCTGCAGCTGGTCCGACAAAGCCTACCCTGGCCACTGTACCACCAACCCCAACGTGCCCGAAGAACGAAGTCTACTCGCAATGTCAAGGTGGTGCATGTCAACCTACGTGCCAGGGTCCAGTCAACTGTCTTGTGTGCAGTCCTGGATGTCGATGCAAGGCCGGCTACGTCAAGCTCTTCACCAATGGGCCATGTGTGCCAGAGAAAAACTGCCCATGTAAGTACCTTGCGTTGGAAGATTACACTATACTTTGGTCTCTGTCTCTTCGTCTTCTCGAATAAATGTAGTCCTACCTACCTGTTCCCATTGTCAGTTGTAATGTCCGGAGAGTATGCCGTCGTCCTGTTAGAACTCAACATTTGTAATAGAAAACCTCACTACGCAAATGCCCACCCCAATTTCCCCAAGACCACAAACCACTAAACCGACGATGGTTGCTATGATTGTGTCCAGAAGTACGATGCCGCTTCAACAGATTTCAACTCTTCTTAGATGCCAAAACCACGCCATTATCGCCATACCACGGATGGTTTGTGTACACTCTGAATACAATGACTGCTCACCGAGGCACAAAACAAGCCCGGTGAAGGCCTAGTGTAGTTGACCATTCAGCGAAAGATGTTAGCAGTATGAGCATGGTTACTGAGCTGGCATTGCCTTTTTCTCTATGTGAAACAATGTTGTGCAGCTTGCGGCGCGAATGAGGAATACCAGCAATGCGGTGGCGCATGCCAGCCAACATGTAGCAGCACCGTCGTGTGCAAGGCTTGCTTCCCTGGATGTGCTTGCAAGACTGGCTACATCAAGCGGTCAGCCAATGGCCCGTGTATTCCCAAGAAACTCTGCCCAAGTAAGTCAATTCCCCACCTTGAATTCTCCACGATGGTTGCTGCCTAATGCTTTCAATGCTTTCTGCGATCTCAATCTGAGTTATAATTCAAAGATCTCAATACCCATACAACACGACATGGTCCTTTTGATTTGCCTAATTTGCCTACAGTATGGTTTTGAAAATGATGATGGGGAGGGGTGGAGTAGTCAGAATATCAGGCAGCGAATAATCTATCTACACGTACTAACGATGGAACTAGAACTTCGCTTTTCAGGTCGAGGTTAGGGAAAGCGCTGTTCAGTCCGGGGTAAAGTATTTCCGAGAACTGTTTTTCACATTTCTGTCCTTACAAAATCTAGGATAATTTTGCTTCATGCATCTTCCGTACTGTTGATGGACACTTATTTGTAATTCTACCTCTCGTTGCAGGTTGCCCAGCCAATGCTGAATACACTCAATGTGGTGGCATTTGCCAACCAACGTGCACGTCCCGCTTCACGTGTGAAGCCTGCTCGCCTGGCTGCTCATGCAAGCAGGGCTATATCCTGTCGAGAACCAACGGGAAATGCATCCCGACCAAGAAGTGCAGAGGTGTGTATAAAGGAAAGTGAACACACGTTAACATTAACGTTGACGTTATCATAATACTTCATCACATACAACGTAGTCTAGTTCCGTTTTCAATCATCTGCCATCTACATGTACATGTACATGTACGCCATTCTCTGTACATCTACATGGACATGTAAGGCATTCTGTGTACATCTCAATTTCGCTATCAGCTCTTCGCTAAACACACAAATATGGTATTTACCACTCTGTACCGTCGTAGCACATTCTCGATTTCAATCATCCTCAAGCGTATAGCAACTCTCCAACCAATTCCCACGCTAACTATGATCTACATCTAGAAACACTTCGCTTTACAAACTAGCAATGTATTGCAGGCACATTAGAAGTTTTGTTTGTGAGCAATTGTATGCAAGTCACTCTATCAGTCCTTGATTTACTCTCCGCCAATTTTGGCTAGATTAAACATCATAATACTGGATCATATCTACACTCTCTACACTATTATATTCAAATTTCGCTTCCTGGTAGATGCTCACTGCTCGAGTGTATGCTGAGTGCATCTTGTATGCACAATCGTGATGATCACTGCAACCCAGTACTGAGGGTTATCTTGGAAGTCCTTCCTTTGCAAATGTTTAAACCAGTACCCGAAGTTCCAACGAAAAGAGGCATGAAAAAGTTGTGATATCGTTGACAAATATTCTGCAAATTTGGGGATTATTCAGCATTCGCAATTTTCAGATAGTTATTTTCAGGTGGTGAGTTTAGAGAATACGTTGGCACTCTCACCATACATGCTTCTCTGTGGTCTACGAGTGGTAGGTGCACTGAGAAAATGCTGCCGCTGTCGCTAGTCTTTACCACTTCCATGCACTTTGCCTCATCTTGCTTGTCCATTTCAACACTTCTAAAAGATAACAACTGAACTGCAAACTCAACATGATTGTGTGCCTGCGTGTTTTGCGTGTATGTATGTATGTGTGTGCGTGTATATGTGTGTGTGTGTGTTTTTTTGCCTGTTGAGCCGTATTACAGACAGGATTTATAAGGAGGTCTGTTCCGAGCTCTTGGCAAGACTTGAAATGTATTCTAAACTCAAACTAAACATTAATGACACATTTTGTAACAATCTAATCTGCTAACCACTAATCCGCGTCACTATTACACATGTTGTGGTCTTTTGTGGCAGGTCCCTGTCGCAGTACCACTAGGCGAATATGCCCGCCGAATCGACGGAATGGACGCTGCCAGCCCCGCCAGCGCAGCATTTGCAAGCGTCGCAGCGTCCGCCGACGCAGAGTATGCAAGCGGACCACCGCCTATCAACGCTGCACTAGGCGTGGTGGACGTGTTGGATCCCGTCATACCAGGCGCCGGCGTGCACGTAAACATAACCGAAAGAACTAAGTACAATGTGGATAATATCTTAATCCTCTTCTGTTACACCCTAAATATGTATTCAATTTCTATCTTTTTTCCTAAATCCACACATGGATGCACACATGGATCCACACATGGATGCACACGTGGATGATATCGTGACATGACCACTGTAGATCATTTCTAACTTTATTCTAAGAACCCAAGTCTCACTCATCGGATATTACCACCCCATAAACTTCGTACCAGGTGCAGCGCCCTCGTGCGGTGGGGACGCGATAGGCACAGATCACAATGGCACGAGGGGTGGTGACATCTGCCACATCTGTTTAGCGTTACCTCTTGTACCAGAACACAAGTTCCCATTTTGACTGAAGACCTACGTCCCCTTCCGCGTCGTGCCCTCGTATGAAACTAAACTTGTCAAAAGCATTGAAGAGCACAAGGGGAAGTGGCGTACAAGGGCTAGAGAAATTCCCTATGCTGAACTGGAACATTTCAAAAAGCCTGCACACACTGATTAACCCTGTGGTCAGAGCTGGTTGCAAGCGTTTGGCTGCCACGCTCATGCGGATCAAAATCAGTGAACCCACCATCCTATCAACTGGTTTGAGAAAAAAAGAGACAACCATATGATATTATTTTTCAAGCAGCGAACCAAGAGCACAGTTCCGATAATATTATACTTCGAAGTAACCCAGTATAACTATTATGATATAACAGCATATGTATGCCCACTCTCGGCTTTCAACTATCCTCTTTCCTTCCCTGGCATCACTGAAATCATCCTTCGTTGTCCCTTCCCCTTGTTTTTTCCCTCTCTTCCCCTTGTTAATCTTCCATATGACTTTAACAGGATGTTTTACTTGTCCTAGTCTCAGCAATGAAGGTTAGAACGGCCGGTCACCCTGCGAATATCCACATACGCTGCATCTGTGACAGCCATATCCCACAGATCTCATATCACCCAGTTCTCTTATCACACAGATATTTTTTTATCACACAGATATAATTTTTTTTATCTCAAAGATATTTTATCTCACAGATCTCTTTACTAGGACCCCACAAACCTCCGAACTCACAGATCTTCTTTCATCCCACAGATCAGACACAAAAGGAAAAGTGATAGCGACTTCTGAGATGTTTTGTGAAGGAAGAGTTTGCTCCCCATGGACACTGGAGCTCGCGCTATTCCGCTGACTTGATTTGAACTTGACTGACTCACAACTGCCAACCAGATCAGATCAGATCAGATACAGGATTATTATTCCATCAGCAGTCGGCCGAAGGCCGGAGATAGGCACCCACCGGGCTAGCATCCAGCAGCCAAAGGTGGGGCCATGCATCATATGGATATTTAAAACTTTGATGGTAGGTAAAAAACAAAGAGAAACACGCAACACTTTTTAAATATCGATCATAGGAAACACGAGAGGGTTTGGAGGAAAATAGGACCGAAAGAACTCCACCACCCACCCCAGAGCATTACAAATCAAGGACCTTACGTAGGATAGCTGCCGAGCCAAGGAGATCATTCTTTTGAAATTCAAACACAGAGCAGTAGCTGGTGATACCGATGGTGTCAAGGTATCCTGGCAACTGTTTGGAAATAGTGCCCAAAGTCCCAAATCCCACAGGAACAATCTGAGTCTCAACTATCCATAACCGATGGATTTCGCGAGCAAGAAGTTGATACTTGGCACGTTTCTCAACTTCCTTTTCAGCAACGCGTGGATCACCAGGTACAGCAATGTCAATGATCACGGATTATTATTACTATTATTACTACTACTACTACTCAGATGGAGAGCCAGTTTAATAACTGGTGGTGTTAGTGGACAGTATAGCGTAACTTGTAGTTCCTTGGTCTTTCTCTTTTGTATAAATTATTACTACTATTATTGATTGACGAAAGGCGAACAGATTGAAAATATTCTCTACTGGTATCGATTGGGCCAAGCATGTTCTGCTTCCACTATGATGGCGTCAGCAATGTACTACTACTAGCCCCGAAATCTTCTAACGCAGGCGTTCGAGGGCTTGAAAGTGATGACGTCAAAACGGCCAGGGAGCATAACAAGTTGACATCAGATTTCAAATTTGGATCCACTAAGGTGTGACTTTGCTATTGACTCAGTGTGTGGGTGCATAGCAACCCACGCATGTGGTATGCAGGTGTGACGTTTTCTTCGCCACCAGTTGTCACCCCACCCCCCATTAGCCAAACCAGTCAATTTCACCAGTTATATCACCTTGCTGTCAGTAAGACCGCTTGAAATGTGCTTGGATCCATACAAACACTGGATCCATGTGGATCCAGTTTTTGAATTATTTTTGAAAATGTTCCTATGCCGTGACGTAGCACTTTCAAGCCCTATCCAGTGGCCCACCGCCTTTCAGCTCTCCGCTGCCATTCTACATCTCTGCGTGCATGGTTTATATTCATGCACGGTTTACATGTACTATAGTGATATTCATGCATGGTTTATATTCATGCATGGTTTATATTGACGGTTGAGCCCAGCGGGGCACACACACCAGGTACATACACAGTCTACTCGATAACCATGATTGGCCTAGTGCATGGCAGTCCAGAAACTAGAAAGAAAGCAAACGTATTGACTAAGAATCCAAAGGGATTCCCATATACATACATGTATATGTATACATTGGATCAGCACTGGATCAACTGAGCCACCATTATTTAAGAAGCGCCAATAATGGCACTATAACCACAAGTCGGACATGAACATCGAGTCAAGGAGGAACAACACGGAGCTGTCCAAGCATGTATGGCTGATAAAAGAGACGAACCGTCACCATCAAGTGGAGGATTGCTGAGCAAGCTAAAGGGTACAGCAACGTCAGCAAACGGTGCAATCTATGCGTGACAGAGAAATTCCACATCATCACCGCCGACAGGAGCACCCGCCTGAATAAGAGGAGCGAGTTAATCTCCAAATGCCGTATATGCCAACAAGTAAGTTTCAACTCAGCAGGGTAACGTGATGAGACAAATACAAGAGCCACGCCAAGCTGGGGGTGGCTGTTTTGCCCGTCGGGGG